AGGTAGTCACTTCCAAGCAGTTTCCACCCAGAAACCAGGATAAGCTTGGGAGCACTGCTGTGTAGTTACCAAGAGAGGAGCAGTAGATGCTGGCATGTGGTGCTATAACCTGAAGTCCACAGATTACACAAGTCTCATGTTGGTCCTACTAGGCCACCTCTGTGCCCAGGACAAAGGAGGTTGGGTCTCATGGTGTCTTCCTGCTCCACCTTGGCTCCATGTGTTCCATGCTCTGACATCAAGGAATCTAATTAGAAAAACTTGCCGCTTTTTCTTTTTTTAATCTGTGCTGGGGATTTGACCCAGGGCCTTCACACTGAGCTACATCTCCAGCCCTTTTTTATTTTTCACTTTGAGACAGCATCACCCTAAAATGCTAAGTTACCCAGGCTAGGTATGAGTAGCCTACCAGCCTCCCAGAGTGCTGGGATTACAGACATGTATCTCCACACCCAGCTAAGCTTGCTGCTTTGACAGACAGAAACCATTGCACCTCCTGAGCCAATGCTGCCTCCCTTGGACAAGTTTTGTGATATAAACCACCAACATGAAAAGCTAGAACACATCAAACATTATTTTTTAAATTTTTTGTAGCACCCTGTCTCCTTGGGGACTAAACAGTATAAACTGTAGCTCTGCCCCAGGGCTTCCCACAATGCCCCGGCAATCCCTGCACCCCATTTCCTCAGTCACAGTCTACCACCTTAGGGTCTCCGGCTGCCTGTTCCAGTTGCACTGAGCACTGGGCAGTTACCTGTACCTCTGCTCATGTGCTACTTCCTGTCTCAGAGCCTCCTTCCTTATCAGTCTTTCCAGATTCCCCTCACCCAAAGCCCTCAAACCCTCCACGTGGGGATCCCCATCCTGCTCAACCAGGGAGCAGCTCTAGGGGATCTAAGTGGTCACCCCTCATAAGCCACATCTGTGCACAGAGCTCTTCCGCCCATCGGCCCTGTTGTACACTTTTGGAGATCGGGGTTGTTCTATTTTCTCCTTTTTTAATAAAATAAGTTAAGAAAAATAGAAAGGACAGTACAGTGAGCCTGTGTATTACCAATACAATGATACCGTGATCGTCACCAATACCAGTGGATTTCAATGCCTTTATCATTGTGCATCCCCATCAATTTTTTTGGTTGAAAATATTTAAATATAAATTCTATTATTTTCTTTCATTTCTGAATACTAAGGCATGCATCTCCAAAGTATGTCCTTCCGTACATCCATAAGAACATTATCATATATACCTAAAATTCTACTCGCAAATACTGAACTTCTAGGCCATATTCACATTTCATCATTCACTCTCAAAATACTGTAGCTTATATGCCCTTAAAGATCACTATTATACCTGATTGCTTCTGTTAAGTTCCTATTAAGGGAGCTCCTCTCTTTTCTACTGCTATTTCAGGAGACCAGGCCAACCATGCTATAGAATTTCCCTTGTTGTTGCCAGGATCATGGGTAGAGGGGATGTTGTAGAGCTGCGGATGGACAGGTCTTTCACGCCTTTTGTTACATTCATTCCTAGATAGTTGATTGCTTGTGTATTTTTTTCCCCACAAAATATAAAAATGTATTACCTAAATAAATGAAAAGGTAGACCACCTCCACAAAAGGAACACTCAGTGTTGGGAAAGTGTCAAAATTTCATCCAAACTGACTTTTTCATTTAATGTACTCTCAGTCAGTTTCCCAGAATTCCCTGGAACCTAGGCTGAATCTAAGGTATATAAGGCACAGCAAAATCTCAGGGAATGACAAGCCTTTCCCAAGACAGAGAACTTTTCCAGGTAGTAAGAGCTATTATAAAAGTGTATTAATTTCACAGTGAGGTACTGAAGAGGGTGAGCCCATTCCTCAGTACCAATATAAAAGGCATCATAAGACCCTATAAATGCAAATGTTTTGGCTATATTGTTGGTTACTGACAGAATAATGAACTTCTCTCCAATTGTCCTGGGAGAAAGAGTTGCACATATAAACAGATGAAATTAGTTCTTTGCTGTACACCATATATACTAGTCATTTCCCATTGAACTAAGCCTCATTTTTAAATGAAAGGGAAAACCAAAACTGTGTCAGAAGAAAATTCAGGAGACTATTTATATGATCTTATGAGAGGAAAAGATTTCTCAAATGGAGCACATCAAAGATTAAAAAGTCTGGACTACATAAAAACATTATATAAAGCAAATTAAAATGTCAACTAAAGAAACCCATTTTGAATTGTACGTTTCATTTAGGATGTTTAAAAATCTAAACAGCAATAAGATTAAAAATGGTCCAATAGAAAAAAAAAAGTAGGCAAAAATGTAAGCCATGAATTTCACAAAATAAGTGATAAAAATGGTAAATAAGCATATAAGACTCAAAATCATGAATGTAATTGTAAATGAATGTAATCAGTAGGCACCACAATCATGTACTAATCAAAATTGAAATAAGTAAATAAAACCACAAGGAAATGACTACCTGAATGTAGAATGCAGAAAAAATTTCATAAGATGAAATGATCTGGTTTCAACAAATTAATGGTAATAAAGGAGGGAAAAAAAAGACTCAAAGTCATTAACAATAAGATGATACAAATTTGAATTGGAAAAATACCCACTATACTGAAATAAATTAAGAAACACGAAATGGCTGCTTTTGCTGAGGATGTGAATTCTAAGAAATCTTATGCACAGTTGATGCCAGTGAAACCACCATAGCCATATGCATTCTTGCAACCCAGGACTTGGTACTTCCAGTTCTGTACATATATGTGAGAAAAGACTTCCATGTTGGTACTGAAAGATGTGAAGGAATATCTTCGTAGTAGGCACATTTATAATAATAATTACAAAGTTAGCAGTGATGGATTTCCACTGTGATATGCATATACTGGAATAATAAATGTCTGTGACAACTGAGAGCACAGTATAATAGAAGTTAATCTTAGAAATATTATGGGAATTGCTGAGGACCATTATTGTTGTGCTCAAATTCAAACAAAACTAGGGGGCTGAGGTGTAGCGCAGTGGTAGACAAATTGTCTAAGATGTGTGAGGTCCTGATTTCCATGCCCAGCACCACACCCCACCACACACACACACTACAAATAAAACTAAATAACACATTACCTAAGGATACATAATTAAAGTTAGGGATGAAAATTCAAGAGGGGAGTGAGGAGGGGGTGAAGGGAGGGCAGGGATAAGGGGGAAAAAATGAGAACCAAGACCTGTCATGTAAAGGTACAAGATCCCAATAATGAATGTAACTGTACTGTATTCCTAAAATGCAGCAATAAACTCAGTGAGGAAAAAAAATTCAAGAGGGGAGACCACAGGTTGGAAAAGAAAAATGAAAAGATGGAGCAGAAACCTTGTGTTCTAATTTTTAAGTTGTTTTATTGGTTTCACTTTGTAACATGAACATATTATATGTAATAAGGGGGAAAATGAGAACCAAGACCTGTCATGTAAAGGTACAAGATCCCAATAATGAATGTAACTGTACTGTATTCCTAAAATGCAGCAATAAACTCAGTGAGGAAAAAAAATTCAAGAGGGGAGACCACAGGTTGGAAAAGAAAAATGAAAAGATGGAGCAGAAACCTTGTGTTCTAATTTTTAAGTTGTTTTATTGGTTTCACTTTGTAACATGAACATATTATATGTAGATCAAATATTATAAAACCTTTTTGAAAAACATTTTATTCTAGGTGATTCATACCATGAAGGGTGGGTTAAAGCAAAGATTGTGACTCCTTAGGGGAATTGGTGGTAGTAAATCTTCATCCACTTACAAGGATTTGATTTTTAGAAAATCGAACCTGTTAAACAAATGGAGTCAGAGTGGTAATTGAATTAAGTCATACCCTTTTCTGCAACTTTCCTCTGGAACTGATAAACCAATTTTCAAGTGCTTTCCCAAAAATAAATTTTAAAACTTGGAACATAAAGTTCGCTTTACTGAAATGGTTTAACAGGTGACCCTTGGCTGTTTGCAAAAGGGAAGGAAAAGAAATGCATGACTTACTTGTTTTGTTTATGAAAGTATTACCGAGAAAGTAAATAAAAACCATTTCCTCTGAAAGTATCTTGCTAAGTTTAGCACTAAACTTTTGCACATAATTTACAGTAATGCACAAAATGGATTAACCTAGAACTGTAGAAATAATTAAAATCTTCCTCTGTAAATAAGCTTTAGTTTTCCCAAATAAAATCCAGGAATACTTGAATTATAATAACTTCACTTTTAATCTAGTCTGCACCATGTCTTTCAGTCATCATCTATTTAGTGTGAAACAACTCTGCCACCCAAATGTCACTACCTTCCTTGGAAAGATGTTTTTCCTGTCCCCATGGTGGGTCCGTCTTCCCACCAACAATCCAGCCTCCGGAAAGTGTTCCCTTTCATTTGCTTACTATTTAGTATATAAGGTATTCATTTCCAAGGGGATAATTAAAACCTTGATTGCTGATATACAAAAGACCAGGGTCACTAACTACATGATGGATAGATTGAAAAGATCAGAGAAATTGTTGCATCCTCCAAGAGTAGCCAAAGGACCATGTAGACAAGATGAAAGCTGGTGCTGTGGGTTTGGGGGTTGCCTCCTGCTGAGGTGCTGCATGGACTCATCCCCACATGTCAGGTGCAGGCCACCAGTCCCTTCCCTCCCATCCACCTTGCGCTCTACAGCAGCTCATTTCCTCACCTGCTCTGAGTGTCCACCCTGCGTGTCCCACCCAAGAAATTCCCACAACGTCCAAAGGTTTGTGTATGTCTGGGCTGTGCATTATGTCAGATGTGGAGTAGTGAGAACCAGACAGAAGCAACCCGTGAGACCACAGGATGCAGAGATGGAATCGCCGTGTTTAAAGGACCCATGGATGAAAAGTGCAGATCTTTTTTCCAGAACCCTTCAATCCATTCTACACAAGTGTCCATCAAAAGCCAAGCTCAGTTCCTTGATGGCTCCTGTTTCTTTTCTGTCTCCTCTCTTGTAGATAAAGAATTCATCTACAGAGAACGGAACGGATCTGTGATAGTGTGGAATGTCGAGAGCAATTTTTCTGAAGTGTTAATAGAAGGCAAAAAAATTGTAAGTACTCTCTCTAATGACCAGGATAATTTCATATTTTTTCTCCTGCAAGTCAATAAAGCAGAAAATGACTTTGCGTTTCGACTTTTAGTATAGGCAAGGAGAAGCAATAAACTTGTAATACTATGGGCTGAGCTACTGAAGATAATGTGAAATTGAAACCACACTAATTTAATAAGATGAAAGCACTGTTTCTCTCAGCGTCTGGGAATTTCTCTGCAGGTGTCGGAAACAAGTGTTGCATATCATATATAATTGATAGATAAAGTCCTGAGACTTTTACATGTTTACAGAACAATTGCAATAATGCCTACAGAATATTTCAGGGGAACTTTCTGAATCTTATTTCAAATTTTTTAAAAATCTCCTATGCATAGGAAGTATTAACTTAGACCCTGTGAGTGTGCCTAGATATATTAAGTGATGTTGATGTTTTAAAATAAGAATAGAGTCAAGCTGACACTACTGTTTTATCATCTGGGAAAACTTACTTACCCTCAGATTTAAATGGCATTAAGATTGTGGGCTCGTGTTTAAAGATATTAGAAACATTGACTGAGATTCTATACCAAAAACCAATTTAAAGAGAATTAACTTTCTTTGTTCACAGTATGTTCATGCACAGTATTAGGAGAAAAATAAATGTCCAACTTCAAGGAGTTGATTATTTTCTTGGCTGACGCACTGGGGAATTCAAAGGAAGAAACTAAATCCAAGTTAAAAAAAAAAAGAACTGGAGCAGATTGGGAATTCTAAGTGAGAACAATCATAAAATAGCTCTGCCATCATTCAGACATGTAGAAATCATAGACTCCTATGTTGTGGGGTTAGACTTAGGAAGAAAGACTCAGCTTCTTGTTTTATGGATGAAGGTCCTGAGCCCCACTGGCAGATGAGTGTCTGTGTCCCACAGGTCTTTGGTGGCAGGGCCAGAACCTCTATCCCTGTAGAAAAAAGGCATCGTCTTTGTGCCATCCCATCTGTGGACCCTAAAACCTTGCTCCTCCTTCCTAAAGGACATTTAACTGGCTAGTTGCATATGTTTATTTCCTTTTCTTTTGTTGTAAGGATACCTTTTCTTAAAAGTGGGGTGGGGGAGGTACTGCAGTTGAATACTACACAGACCCTGCTCTATGAGTAATCCACTGGTATTAGGAAGGCCTCCATTGATAGCACACTCCCAAATTATTGCTTTTTTGAATTAAGTCATATTCTGTAAAGTAAGTCCCAGAGTGACTGAATATACCTGTGTTTCTGCCTATAAAATCACCATTGGTACAATTACTCCCTTAAGAAAATCTGATTCAACCCATTTAAAAATACTAAAGCTGCAGAAATGTTTTTCTAATATTAATGCAGAGGAGACAATGACCTGCCTGTTGCTCAGTTGAAAGTACATTTTAGTGTCAGAACATTCCAGGCATTTCCTGGGAGGATGTGGGTTTAGTCACAGAAAGATGCTAGACACACAACAGTACTTAGTAATGAAGCCCAGAATATGAACAGCCTTCTTATAAAATCAATAGTTTGTGGGTGAAGTGTTTAGCCTTTGCTTGAAAGTTACTTAGCGAGAACTGTCTTTGGAGATTATGCCAATATCCAAGCTCTTCTTATATGATGAAACTCGGAATATCCACAGACAGAATTCCAGGTTGACCTCCACTTATGGTGCTGCTGATCTAAAAGGGCTGTTTCCTAATAAATCCCTGTATTGGTCTGTGTGTCGGTCAGACTTTATATGTCCTCTGTATTGATTACACTATTGGGGACAGGAAGTAGGAACAAAGATTGATACAGTCATTCACTGTACTGTTAAATTATGCCAGGTGTTTAAAAAGCAACTTGGCAACACATTTCCAGAACAATAAAAATAATCATAAATTTTTAGTCACTCCAGAGAATTAGTCACAAGTAAACAATCTAAAAGTACAGTGTTGCAGCATTGTTTGTGATAATGAAATATCTGGAACTAGGAAAATGAAAGGAGTAAATAAATACAGATGAAACATTGTAGTCATTATAATAATAACTAGGAAAGCTCTAGAAATATGAAAGGTATTTATGATGTTATATTCAATAAGCAGGAGAGTACAATAGCACATCTTTCAGTTAACAAAGACAGACATCACTTATGTGTACTGAAAAGGCTAGGGATGAATAATAACTATGCAAATCTTATTGGGTGGTAAAATTTTGCATATTATTTTCTAATATAGTGATTTCCATGATTACGGTTTCAGTGCCATGTATTTGATAATTTCAGTCATATTCTTAAAAATGTACTTTCATGTTCCAAAAAACTAGATTTTTTTCCAGTGATGAACAGGTAAGAGCAATAGACCATTCCTGAAAATGTTACGTTTAGAAAAGAAAATACATCTTTTTTTAAAAAAAGCATTCTGTAGGGGCCAGGGATTTAGCTCAGGAGTTTAGTGGCCTGCCTTGCAAGTGCAAGGACCCGAGTTCAATCCCTGGTACCAAAAAAAAATAAAAATAAAAATAAAAAAAGCATTCTGTTGTTCTGCTTAGGTCAAGTTTTTCTCGCTTTTTATGTCTAGTTTTAATCACTAATTTATTTGTGGTAATTACTTAATTGCTAGATTAAAATTTAAATAAAAGCATTTTTGTTTGGGGAATTTATATTTGCCCTTGAATTTATATAGTCATCAGACATAGAATTTGAATTTTTGTCTGAGTCTCAGAATATTAATTAATTCAGACTCCTTGTAGAGAAGGGCATCATTAGACAACTGTAATTAGCCCTATTCCACCACTGACAGAAACCTGAGATCTGCCTGCTTGACCAGAGAACTCCAGGATCTGTTGAGTTTAGAACTTGAGCTCCCCGGACCTATTTTAAAACTATACCCATCCACTCATTCCTTTTCTCCTTCTGTTTCATTTAGTTAGTTTCCGCCGAGTACCCCATTCCTGACAGCTCTGCCCTATATGATGGGTTTCACATCAGGGAGGAGACAGCAGCTCATGGTATTGCCTTGTTCCCCTTCTGTTCCAGAGCCCAGGGCATGACTGTGCAGGAGGCTCACACAGTTGGGGAGAGGCCAGCCCTGGAGGACATGCACCTGGTGGATGTCAGCCCTTGCTGTCCTGAGCTCCCTGCACAGAATTTCCTGTGTGTGGCCCACAGTTGTGACATTAACAGTGACAGTGGACAGTGAGGGTGACACAGCCACATGGCCACAGACAATCCCTGACCTATCTGGATTTCACAAACCACCAGGTAAAGAGCCTCATGTGAGTCTGTCATCAGGAGGTAGAACCAGCAGCATGGGCCATTCACTGAAATGTTTGCTTTGGCCAAAGACTGGTTCTTACAGACGTGGAACCAAGATTTCTGGCAAGTCTTGACAAATAGGGAGATGTGGCAGCAGCAAGTCTTTCCCTCATGGATCACAAAACTTTGCTGGTGCTGGTGGCAGCTGTCCATCAAATAGGATGTGGGCTGCCTTCCCCAGAGGGACCTCACTTCTGACTTTCCTGCAGTGGCCAATCCAAGTTTATGCCCCCTTCAGCCTGAGACCAAAAGGGGGACATCAGAACACTTTTGGAAGAACTTCTAAAAAGTCATGATGCAAATTTTCTCTCTATTTCAGTATTTGTTTCTATGTCTCTGACGTTTTCTTTCTTTTGGTTCCTTCTTTCTTTCATTTTTCCTGTCTCCTTCCTTTGTCTTTTTCTACTTCTCTTATTATAAGATAGTACAGAAAATACAGTACTTTTGCTTATTTTTTCTAATTATTATTTCATATGCTGTCCTTTTAATTTTTAAGGTACATAAGTGGATTATTTTATGCTATGTCTTTAGAAGATCTGAAAAGAAATAAAGCCGAGGTTCATTTCCTAGGCCCACATTTCCTGCCTTCTTTGGGTTTAGGGGTGCACTGTAAGTCTCCCTGTATGTGTATTGTCTCTGGACCGTAATGATGCCTCAGCCACATAGGCTGGGTAGGGGGTGCCTGGATTAGTATTGACACACAACCTTACTCTTAGATAGCTTTCCACCTAGATATAAAAGCTGTACCTGCAATCTTCTGTGTAGTCAAAAGACACTTAGCAAAAGAACAAGCTGATGTTACCATGCCTTCCTGGTAAGAACAAGGTCCTGAGTTCAATCCTCAGTACCACAAAAAAAAAAAAAAAAAAAAAAAAAAAAAGAAAAA